CAGTCTGGGTGATAGAGTGAGACTCCAACTCAAAAAAAAAAAAAAAAGAAATATATTTCATATGGCTATACTTGCCACAGATATCTTTTGTGAAAGGAAGGAAGAGTCAATTGATGTGGCAAACTTCATTGTTGTCTTATTTTAAGAAATTGCCCTAGCCACCCCAACCTTCAGCAACCTCTGCCCCTATCAGTCAGCAGCAATTAGCACCAACACAAGACCCACTACCAGCAAAACAATTACTACTTGCTAAAGGCTCAGATAATTGTTAGCGTTTTCTAGCAATATAATATTTTTAAATTAAACTTGTGCATTTTTTAGACACAATGCTATTACACACTTAATAGACTACAGTATAGTATAAACATATTATCATATTCCAAAGTTAGCGGAAATAATCCCTTTATCCCAATCTGTTCTTATGTGATGTTGGCATTTCAGCCATCAAGAAGTGGGATTGCTCAGTGCAGTGGCTCTTGCCTATAATCTCAGGACTTTGGGAGGCTGAGGGGAGAGTACGGGTCTGAGCCCAGGGGTTCAAGACTAGCCTGGGCAACTTGGCGAGATCTCATCTCTACAATAAATCAAAAAATTAGCTGGGCACGGTGGCACGCGCCTGTGGTTCCAGCTACTTGGGAGGCTGAGGTGGAAGAATCACCTGAGCCTAGCAGGTCGAGGTTGTGGTAGCCATGATCATGCCACTGCCCTCCAGCCTGGGCGACGGAGTGAGTCTCCAACTCAAAAAAAATAACAAGTGGGGTCTATGACCCGCCCCCTGGATCCTGTGCTGATGATGAAACAATTCTATGCAATAATATCCCAAGTAACACTTGAGGAAGCTTCTTACTTATTGGCAGGAATGTTTCTCTGGGACCCTCAAAGCCAAGTGAGTATCTGACTGCCTGGGGCCATTATGCCGTGAGAAAGCTGAAGCTAGCCCACATAGAGGGAGTCCCTGAGAGGGACTGAGATGACCTGAGGTGTTGACAGTCCCCAGTTGTCCCAGCTGTAGCCACGATCCTACTAAGGGAGCCTGAACTGCCAGCTGAGCCTTTCCCAAATCCCTGAGCCACAGACACAGGAGAGATAATAAAGTTATGTTGTTTTAAGCCTCTAAATTTTGCAGGCATTAGTTATGCAGCAATAGACGATCAGAACAGCAATATCCAGGCACATTCAAGGAGCAGCAACATTCTTCCTTCCTGAAATTGCACGCTGGC